GTGTGGCTCCCCATAAGCACAAGTACTAACTTATGAAAGATACAGTTCCCAAAGCAGGGTTTTAAGCTGCTTCAAGTGTCAGGAGGGCAAATCTCATCCACTTAAAGGTGCTGTTCAACAATATAATGAACTTTAGGGATAGGATGTCTCCAGCAGGGAAGGTTTAGGAGCAGCCAGGGAAGACAGAATTCCATCAGTCAGATCAATTAGCCCAAATCTTTCTTCAAAATGGTGAAGATATTTTAAAAAGTGTATTCTGCAGCACATATATGACAGTGTACACTCAAAGCTATTTCATGAGCTATTTAATTGTTGTTCCCTATTTATACAAAATCAGATCCCAGAGTCCCATTGTGATGGGTGCCTCACAAATGCATATAAATACTAGGTCTTTGCTCGTCAATGACATACAGTCTAAGAAATTTATGCATCTCATGTTAGTCATGATGAATTGAATTAATCCATGACATTCAAGTCATGGATTATAAGTTCATCACGGGTGCACAGAAGGGAACTGGTGAGGTTTTATTCACCAAGGCACCCCCGGGGGTTACAAGAAATAATGGCCACAAGCTAGCAGAGAGCAGATTTAGATTGGACATTAGAAAGAACTTCTTCACAGTTAGAGTGGCCAAGGTCTGGAACGTTAGAGTGGCCAAGGTCTTCTTCACAGTTAGAGTGGCCAAGGGCTCTCAAGGGAGGTGGTGCTCTCCCCTACCCTGGGGGTCTTCAAGAGGAGGTTGGATATTCATCTAGCTGGGTTCATCTAGACCCAGCACTCTTTCCTGCCTATGCAGGGGGTCGGACTCGATGATCTATTGAGGTCCCTTCCGGCCCTAACATCTATGAATTTTGTCCCTCTATTCAAAATGGTCAGAGGTTTTGACTGGCTCCAAGTGCCTAGCAAAATATAGTTACAGCTCCAGTGTTTAACTAACACTGAGTCTTCCTGTGATAGGTCTGGGCTTTGGTCCCCACCTCTTCCTGTCATATTTCCCGCCTGCTCCACTTCCTGCTCCTTGCCTGCCATGAGTTGATAATAACCAATATGTAGTCATGAGAAGGCTGCCCTTGAGACCAGGGTAGTCCTTTACTTGGTGCCTTAGGGCTATTATCAAGGCCTCCTTACTACCCCTATATTTGTGCCCACACTTCATTAATGACTCTCTTTCTGCCTCTTTATGGGGACTATCCTTCATGTATGCTCTCTTTGCACAAAATGAGCATTGGACCTTGTTACATGCTACTTCAAATCCTCCAGGGTTACAGAAAAGGTTACTTCTGTCTGGAGTTACTAAGGCTCCTTTTCCCCAACTCCCAGGAGTTCCTCTCGCCCACCTGCAAGCTAGAACCTCCTTACGTCCCTCTGCTTTGCAGCCTTTCCTAGTGCCTTAAATGCTCTTGACCTCCAGGTTTGAGTCTCTTTTGAGCTGCCTGCTGCATCTCTTTTCCCCTGCTAGTCCCAAAAAATTGACTCCCAGAAGGGGTCTGCCACCCTCTCCTCTCCTGTTGCTTGCAGGTAATAGGGTCTGGGTTTGGGTTCAAGAAAATTGAGGGGTTGCAGTTGAGGACTGGATGCAGGTGAAATAATTAAAACTAAATCCAGACAAGAGAGAGGTGGATCTGGTGAGCAGACCACTTGACTTAGAGGAGGCACCTATAACTGATGGAGTCAGCCCCTCCTTGTCACTCAGATTAATAGACTTGCGGTGTTCCTGGATCCCTGTTATACCTGGATCTCCAGGTGACACATGTGGCTAGGACTGCCTCTCACCATATGGTGAGAAGGCTGTAATCCTTTCTTTCAGATATGAACCTGGCCACCATTAACCAAGCCTCCATAATCTCAAGGCTAGACTTTTGTAATGTGCTCTATGCAGGGCTTCCCTTGAAAACTGTACAGAAGCTGCAGCTGTTGCAGAATATAGTGGCCCACCTTCTTTCTGACAGGATGGGTCCCTAGGAGTATATAACTGGCTTCATTGTGTTTTAATAGCTTTCAGAAGCAACTCAAAATGCTGGTTTTCACCTATGGGCCCTAAACAGTCGGGGTCCTGTGTACCTAAGGGACCTTTCTCCTTTACTTTCAAAGCAATCTATAGAGTACCATTGAGAAACTCACACACTCCCTGCTCCAAAAGCAAATCCAGCAATGAAGTGGTGAGGCTACCCTGAGGGCACTGGTCACTACTGCTCTTAAACACCATGGAGACAGAGGTGGACCTCTAGAGGGGAGCGAGGTACATCCTCAGGACAGCTTCTCTGCCTCATTTCTGGGTTTGACATGTATGGAATGGAAGAGGTTTACCAGAGAACATTATTTATTTATTCATTCCTTCAATTTGACAAAAGCAAACTCCTATAAGTGCCATTAGTATGTCAAGTTTGTTTGGCAAAATGTCTGAGAGGTCATTCTTAGTTGCTCCTCAGCTCTGGAACTCCCTCCCTTGAAGCTCACCAGAGCTTGATCCCAGACATCTTCCGTAAGCACTGTACAACTTTCCTATTTGGGCATGCATATAGCAAACACATTTCTGCTGAGATTTTTTTAGGGAGCCTGTTTACATTGATATTTTAGTTTTAAGTGTTTTTGTTCACTCATTACTCTCCTGTTTTATAAGTTGTTCACCCTTACTGTAAGCTGCCCTGAGTCTTTGTTGGGAAGGGCGGTATCTAAATCAAATAAGTATATAATAAATAAATGCTACTGATCCACCTCTTCCACTCCATGTGTGCCAAACCCAGAAATAGGGCAGAGAAGCTGCTTTAAATGTGTTCCTTGCCACCACCCTTAAGATCTCCCTCCTTAGTGTTTAAGAGTAGGGGTGGCTGGTGCCCTGAAGATAGCCTCACTACCTCATTGCTCGTTTTGCACTTGGAGCAGGGAGTGGATGAGTGGTACATGCTTCTCAGTAGCAATCACAAGATTGCCTTGGAAGTAATACAGACATGGTCCAAATGAATTGACTTTGTCACTAAAGAGCATCTCTAAAGGGAGTTGTAAGGTAGAAACAAAGTCCAGCACTCACCTGGGTAAGGATTCAATCAGGAGGAAGCCTCACTACAACCTTAGAGTTAGAAGTAAAGACACTAATACAGCCACTCCCTCGGATACCCCTGCCCTCCATGAACCTCCAATATGCCCAAATCTTTTGTTGAAGAAGAATTTGTTTTCTGTTTTGTCATTTGTAATTGTTTTGTTAGGATACAATAGGTCTGGGCTGTATTAACCTTCCTGGAAAAGGAGGAGAACAGAGTCTGCAGAAGGTCACCTGTGGGGTAGAATCTGGTGCAGATATAAGATATGTAGACAGGAGACATTAATACATACTGTACAGCAACAGACAGCTGGCTCATGATTCAGTCCGTAAGGGTTTGAGATTGTGAAGTATAATCGATCCCAAGACTTACATTATAATGCAATTCCTAAAAGTAGGACCTTCCACAGTAAAACTTAGCACATACTTACATGCATATAGCTCTGCGTATAAAGAAAAAAATTAATCGGTTAACAGGTACTTCCTGGATGCTTGTATGTAGTATTATATATCTTTTTTGTGTGTTTTATTCACATGATGAAAAGCACAGAATTTTGCATAATTATCCACTCTCCCCCTATGCCCCCCCCCCAGTACCACCCCTTTCATGTGGATGAATTGTTGTTGATTGTATTACAGAAGCACCCACAGGCCTCGATGAGGATCCGATTGTGCTATATTCCATATACATACATAGCAAGCAGTAGTAATTCCCCCAAAGAGCATGTAATTTCAAAAATAAAGGGGAAAATATTATTAGTACCTTTCCTAGAGCTGAAGCAGAGAGATGAATGCTTTGTTCAAAGGTACCTAGAAGTCTGCAGCAGAGGCAGGAACTGAAGTGGTATCACTTTAGTTTCTGTCCAGTGCCTTGGTTACCCTTTTTCAATGGCACAAATGCTACTTTACTGTTCCCAAAAATTTATGTATTCACTTCATCTCAAATCATAACAACAGCATATTTAACATAAGACAGTCTTCAAGTCTTGTGTACTATATGCATTCTGGAGCACAAAAATAAATATCCAATATTGTAAAAAAATTCTTTGGAACTTTCTCAGATAAACAATCCCTTGTCTACAAGTCAGACCTATCCCAAAGATTCTGTTGTCTTAATGCTAGGGACAGAAGTTACACATAAACTGGTTTAAGTGATCAGAAACTGTTTTAAACCTGTAACAGAACAGAAGCTCAGTGCACATAAACCAGCTTCAAAATGTCTGAATCTGGTTTAAGATAAACCTAGTTGAATGTAGTATCAGACTTAACTGATTTGGGTCAAACCAGTTTATGAAACTTCTGTCCCAGACCTCTGTGCATAACTTAAGCTCTTCTTCCATTACATATCTGATTCACATAGGAAATGAATGAACCCTCCCCCCCATCTAATTTGTACCTCTGAAGTCTGCTGAAGTCAAATGAGATTCCAGGGGCAAAACTGCAAGCAAAATAAAAAGCAGTACTTTGTTTGCACGCTTGTTACAACTAAGCAACAAAACTCACATGTACTAGTTCAGTGGGAGCCAACCTTTTCGGCAGGATGTCACAAATTAGCCATAAGTCTTTGTAACTGCCATTCCATTCCCCTACCCTTGCCTGATCTGCTGCTCTGCTCTCTTCTTCATGACCTGTCTGCCACTGTCCCCTACCCTGTCTGCTGCATACCACACACAGAGGCTGCCTGTGGCACTTGTAGCACTTGTTGGCCACACCTGTATTAGTTTATAAGCAGGCAAGAAAGTAAGAGTCAGTGATGTTCATAACTATTATTCCATGCCTAATAATATTGTAAGTCATGAAACTGAAGGCCAGCTAGCTACTCCAGTAAAAGCAACGCTACCCTTGAAAAATCCTCTTGAATATTTACTGGGCATTGATACAAGCAGGACATTGCAGAGATTAAAATCATTCCCTTTTTTATCTATGACTATAAATCCATGCCACAGGTAACGTTAATAAGCATTTATTAGATTAGAAGCTACCAGGCTTGTTCAAATTAGAACACACTTTTTGTTGGATTTTTAACTGAGGTGCAATGTTCACAAAACAGCTGCTAAAAGTCAGCACCTTGCACCTCTAAAACAGATTTGGAATATCTGGACAGGTGCCTGCAACAGTGACTCAGCCAGAGAATAAATGCTATTAAATTTACAGAGAAGAATGCACTCTACAAGTCAAGGTCAGGTCCTTTAAACAGGTGCAAAAATTATGACTGCAAAGCAATTACAGGAAACTTTGCCTTTGTATTGGTTTTATGGGTAAAAAAGCAAAAGAAATTATATACTGCTAATAAACTTTTGAATTTTTTTTTTAAATAAGCAAAAAAAATGTTCTTTTGTTTCTTTTTTGCTAAAGATATGCTTTCTACATTGGTACTAAATGAATCCTTAGGTGCCATCACAGCTGAAAAGGACAGGAGGTAGAAGGGCAAATTACATTTGCTGTTACATGTTTCTGGGAGTGGAATCAATAGCACATGATCTCACACTCATAATGGCAAAACGATGCAGAATAAAAGAAGCTTGTGTGGGCATGGAAAAAGCCTGAGACGGAAATACTAAACAAATCTGAGAAAGTGACACATTTTATAGATAGCTTAAAAGCAAAAGGAAAGCTTGAACTGGGAATATATGGATTACATTCAAGAAAAGGATATCCAGGCTTGTGTATCAGGCCTATTTGTTTCTTCTCAGTCCCACCTTTTTGTTTTTTCAACCATATATACATTTTCAACCATTCTTACTATCTTAGATTTACTATAATTAATCTATTTAATAGAATTTACCCATGTATTTCAAATATTCTTTTTGAGATTAGATCCCTCCAAATTTAAACACCACAAAGATAAGCCCCCTACACACAAACCTAAACCCAAAAGCAAAACACCATCACACCTATAAGTAAGAACACTGTTTTTGACTAATGATATCAGGTCAAGTTATGATTTTGAAGCTCTCATTAAGTTCCTTAAAGTCCCCTTCATTCATATAGGTATTATTTAAAGTTCCTTAACTTTTCTTAATAATATAGATTCTTGAGATTTGCTCTCATGTTTGTGACCATCCTCTATACAGCAATAATATCCCTACTATGAAACAGTGAATGATTGTTTGCATACTATTCCACCAGGGGACTGCCAATTGCAAGATATGACAACAGCATAATCTTTTGCTTAGTATTCTCTACTACTAATACAGCCTTCATCCCATTTGCCTTTTTAATGGATGCTGTGCAGTGAGCAGACAGTTTCAATGAATTTTTTTTCTGAATAACCCCTTTTCCTGATCACTGGGCTGGATGCTTGCTGCATTAATCAACTGTTCCCTAGATTGGTTCTTAGAAACAGAAAGGATGCCACGACAGAGCTTTGTGCCAGTGAGTTTCCCCATGCTGGAAAATATGTAGTCCCTAAAAACACAGTGCGACTTTTTTGTTTTAAATAATCCAATCATTAATCAGTGGAGCAAAAAGAAGCCAGAAATTTAAAGAACAACAAAAATAGTCAAGTCTATGCACCCTAAAATAAACATGCAGTGCTAACAGGTTTACAGTAGTCAAAAAAAAAAAAAAAATCTCTTAGATGACAAAATTCCATTCCCTGCCAGTATAAAGTAAAAAGTAGAGCGCATAGAAGGAAAGATACATGCTTTGATCATAGTTAAAATGCCATTAAATTAGCAGCAAGGGCAGATTTCAAATCATTTCCTTTCGGTTTAGTTAGGATCAGATAAAAAGGTTTTGTCTTAGCTCCTTCTCATACTTACCTTTCCTTCTAGTAGCTGGTTCTACCAAAAGGAAACCATGACTTTGCCCAGCCTTATATCCTTCCTCTGGAAATAGCCAATGTCTAGTGCCTCACAGGTGTAGTCCATAAAAGCAGTAAGCGTTAAAATCTGCAAGTCTAAAGTTCTGTGGAAAACACTACATCAGAACTTCTGGAATCTGGTCAAGAGCATCCTGGGATGGACAGGATCAGTACATCCTTCCATAATAAGTAAGAAAAGCACAAACAAAACCTGGAGCATACCTGTAAATGTATGTAGGGATGCTGTAATTAAATAATTAATTGTACTTTAATCGTATATTAATCTGCAAATGGAAAGTTTCACATCACCAAACATGATTGATCATGTGTGGGTAGTGATGCGGGCTTGACACAAGCACTTCTAAGGTATAAAAAGAATCAAATAGCAATGCACTTCAGATTTGTATTTAACCCTGCATAATCCCTGCTGTTCAGCAAATTGATCACTTGGCTGATAGTATGAATAAAGGGCACATTAAGTTTACACTGCTGTGTGCTTGTTTGTACCCACCTAGTCCCCATAGGTGTCATGACTTAGATTTTGAAGAGGTTGCTGCCACAACTTGGAGTTTTAACTGTCACCACATAGCTCAAATTTGTCAGATTGTAATGCACCATAAAGCTACTGTCTATATTAAGACCCAAATTTTCCAGTAGAGTTATACATTTCTGTTCCCAGGCCCATTTTCAGGAGGTGGTTTATAAATCCCCTCTGACCCGGAGGATTGTGAGGGCAGAGAAAGAGATTGTTCATGTGTCTCTGTAACAGGGAACCCTAACCCTGTTACAGGGAAGAGGGAGCCAGGGAAGGAAAGGTTTAAGACTCAGGACTTTGTAGCCCAGAAAAGGGGAGGAGTACGTGATGTAAAGAAAGACCCTACCAGCATAGGTGACGGAAGGGGAGGGCTAATGGGGCTTAGCCCCCCACTCCAGACACGGGGCAGCAGTAGGGCCTCAAGGCAGCTAGGGCCTCAAGCAGTAGAGCCTCAAGGCAGCTGTGGGCTTCTGGTGGCTGCAGCAAGGGTGAAGAGGGGTGTGCACGCAGTGGTGAGGGAGAGAGTGGACCTAGGGCAGGCACTGCACAGCGGGGAGGAGCACAGGACTGAGTGGCAAGTGGCTCATCCAGGGGGCACAGCTCCTGCTGCTACGCACACCCCAGGAAACATAGGGGGCATGTGCCCCCAGATCTGCATGGGACAGTGCAGGCTACCACTGTGGGCTGGGACCAGAGCTGCACCAGGCTCTTCCCGGTGGAAGGGGGCTGGGCTGGGCTGGGCTGCACTCAGGGTGGGCACTGGCAGCACTGGGGGGGGGACAGTTACAGGGGGACTGGTCACCACAAAATTCACCGTAGCCCCTGCTCCCAGCGCCGCTGCTACCCACCCCGAGTGCAGCATGGCCCAACCCCCCCACTGGGAAGATCCTGGCCCCAGCTTGCAGCCTGCCCTCATCCCACATGCATATCCTGGGTACACAACCCCTGTGCCCTCCCAGGGTATGCACAGTAGCAGGAACTGCCACCCCCTCCCTGCGCCAAGTGCCCCCTGGACAAGCCACTCACAGCTACATCCCACACCCTGCCTCAGCTCTCTAGGGCCTGCCCTTGCCCCAGCCCCACTCCCCCCCTCATTGCCATGGCGGGGGTGGGGGTGGCAAACCAAAGCTCCAGAGATGAGGGAAGGAGTCAGACACAGGCAGGATTAGGGGCTGGGGTAAGTGGGTCTTGCTTGTGCCCCATTCCCTCCCTTACCACTGGGGCCTCAATCTGCCCTGCATCATGGCCCTTCACCATCCCCCCGCCCTTTCCTCCACAGACTTACCTGCTGGGGTAGAGGGGCCTCATGCTCATGCACACACTCACTCAACCCCACCAAATAATTTTTTCTCCCTCCACTTATGCTTGCCAGTATAGCAAGAGTGAAGATCTCAGCTATCAATAGAAGCCCCAAGTAGACAAGCAATAATGAGCAGCTTGTTCTGAGCTTACATTTGTAAAGCTCAGCCTGTAGCTAGCTACAGGACCCAGCAGAGGGAGGGGAGAACCGCACCTGTGCCCAAGGAGCAGAAGACCGGATCAGCTGACCAGGTGGATTGGGCTGACCCTCCCCAGGCCAGATGAGAGGAGCTGGCTAAGGGGGTGGAGGGAGACAGAGCTTGGCAGAGTGGAAACCCATCTGGCTAGGATAGCTGCTCCCTTAGAGGAGGGGCTTCTGGGAAGTGCTAAGGATTTCCTTTTTTTTATTTTGTGTTTCAGAAGGCCCAGAGAAGGGGATATAAAAGAACCCTCAATTCTTTGTGATCACCCTAGAGGGTGAGTGGGGTGGGGTGAGTACACCCAAGCAGACTGAAAACTGACCCTGTTAGCACCAGAAAGGCCTGGGGGAGAGGTCCAAGGACTGCTTGACAGGCTGGTATGGGCTTGCTCTTTCTTCTTTTTCTTTTTTCTCTGGTCATGATAGTAGTAACACCTTGTGGACCAGAGATGCTGTGAGGGGAGGCAAGGAGGCTGCAGAACAGAGTGCACTGTGCTGTGATTTTTTTTTTTTAACTTCTTTTAATGGTTTCAGAGCAAAAGGCCTAGGATGGGGCCAGAGCCCATACAAAATAAGGTAAACTGCAACCTGGCAGGGCTGAACCCCCACCCACAGATGGCCAAGAGAAAGGGAAAATGGGCAGAGCCCCAGTCAGATTTGAGGCCAGGGACAGGATAGGGAGACAAAACACATATGTCCTAGGCTTCAGTTACCTAGGGGCATCCTCTTGAAGGAATATTTATAATAACACCACGTCACGGCAAGTGAGAAGAGAAGAAAGGCACCAGACATGGAAATGGGTATAGGTAGCCAGGTGCAGCCCTCAAGAGAAGGCTGAAAGCTCTTGCCTATACCATGGCCCACTAATGCGAACTTCCAATGCCTATCATACAATCATAGAAAACTAGGGTTGGACTGGACCTCAGGAGGTCATCTAGTCCAACCCCCTACTCAAAGCAGAACCATCCCCAACTAGATCATTCCAGTCAGGGCTTTGTCAAGCCAGGCTATAAAAACCTATGAAAATGTATGTTAGCATATATAAGATAGACATATGTGCCAAGTATGAGCTGCTCAGTTAGTGCTCTTTGCTATACTGAGTGGTACAAAAAGGAAATTAAAATGGAAATTCATACATGACACAACTGGGCAAATCCTGTACACAATTCACAATTAATAAGAAAGAAAAGAAGTGTTTTAGAATCCCTGATGGAAGGAACAGACCTGGGAATGTCTTCATGGAATTCTGCAGATATTGAAGGAACATAAGGACTAATAAACCAGTAACTGGACTCAAAACAATAATCAAAACAAGAAGAATAATAAGCTGTATGTTGTCAGGTCAACTTGCCACTACTATTGAAAATGCACATTTAATTGCTAATAATTTATAATAGACCAATGTTACTGGGTGTGGTATTATACATGGTATTGAATATAATGCTATATCTTTAGTTATTGCTTGTGTGATTAATGGTAATCAATTAGCTCATTACCATAAATAATAGCATAAGACTTAGAAATAGGATGATAGTCACAACTGCACTTGGGTTTTAGAACAATTCTAAAGAAAAGGAAAAGCAGCTCTGCAGATCAAGCATCTACAGGTAGATAAACTGGGTGGTACACCAAACAGCCAACAGGATGGAGCCAAAATTGCTGTACTGCTAGAAATTCCCTAAAAGAAGAGAAAAGCTCAAAACTATACAATTAGCTTGGGGAAAATAGTTAATACCTATGTTCAACTACCCAAATGTTAATCTGGTCACTAAAGATAGCCTTGAAGTGAATCAGGCATGTTGCAAAAAAAGCTCATTGCTACTGTCTTTGTGAATGTAATACAGAAATGCCAAATAAAAGTAGTGCCAAAAAAGAACTAGCCTGACTGGTACAAACACATTTGGTTAGGAAGATGGTACAGCTCTGAAACACTGCATGTGCTTTGGAATGCAACAACTTCACCATGGGGAGAGAAACCTGTCCAGGAAGCTGGAAAGATTCTGTCTAAATGTTACCAATGTAATCCAGATTGGGACCTGTGCTTTCTGGCCTAGTGTCAACATCAATACCTGCAGGAAAAGGTGGTTTTAAGCCAGGAAATATGTTTAGCCTATGCTTTGGCTGTTTGCCACCATCACAGAGTTACATGTAGAAGTAGATAAACCATGAAGTAGAGGGACCGTTGCCAATAACTAACCTCATTCAGCAGCAAAAGGAACAAGTACAAGTTGTACAAAATGATGTAACTACACCCTGATGAAGTATCTTTGCAAATGTAAGCCTCCACCAGTTGTTAGGACACTTGCATCTGTTTTTAATAGGAATCCAACTTGTAGCCAGCAGTAGTGTAATATGGTTGTGCTATTTCTTAAGGAGACTCTGAAAACAATGTCAGGAGGAAGAGAGGAAGGGACATTACCTCCATTAAACAGACCATACCATAGGGGAGGGGGGGAAGGGAGAAAGAGAGTAAGAGAGGGAGGACTGCATGCCACATGGGAGAGGAGATGGAGGGCTGTGAGGGGGCCAGCAGCATGGCACAGGACAGAGAAAGGGACATGCCACTAGACTAAGCTACTTGCTGCTGATCCCACTCCACCCCATACTGCAGCCCAGATCTGGCCCATGGACTATATGTTGAGCACCACTGCCCTATTCTATTTAATATCATACAAAGAAGTGGCAATGGCATGCATAGCTTTTATGAGGAGCTGCATCTGCTCCTATGAAACATAGTGACAAAGACCCCTTGTATTTTAGCCTAAGTCAGGGCTGCCTAACTTCTTAGTGGCCCATCTGCACCAGTGGGGGTATGTTGCATGTCCTGTTGGCCACACTTGTACAAGCCAGGGTCCCCCAGGCCACACCTCCCCTCAACTTCAGACATGCGCAGCCCCACCCACACACACACATACCACTGCAGTGTGCCATGTCCTGACCCTGTGC